TCTTTTCATGACAGGCTTATGTTCACTGTATGGAGGTCACATCTCTCACTTACTTGGTCCTTCAGAGTCCTACATTGTTTCCAGATATCATTGGAAGACACAATTTGTTTACAACCATGCTTTTCAGTTAAGCCCGGGATAAGTCATCCCTGCTGTGGTGTACATTCAGTGCCCATCCCTGGCTTTGATCGTTCTGTTGAGTTTTCACGCTTTCTTAATCACTGGCAATTGCTTTTTTAAAATTGGTGGTGGTGTCTGTAGAGCACGACATCGAGGAGAGTTCTATGGATATACAACTTCTTTATTATTAATTTATTATTTCATTATTATGTATATCCATAGAACTCTCGTCGTTGTTCATCACACCAACTTCAAAATGCCACTCAAAGAAGAGCACGACATGCTCACCCTCTACAATACCCAGTGTCGTCGCGGATCGTGAGTGATCCATATATAATCTGCATAGTTAATATCCCTTTTACGCCAAATATTTGCAACTGATTATTCTCGTGTGTTTTCTTCTTTTTTAAAATCTTTTTAAAATTCTTTTAAAATAATCTTACTAAACTGTATTTTCATCTGCACAATTAAAACAGTTCACAAACAGTTACAAATGCTAGCCAAAATATGATACTTCTCAAGGCTCGTAATCAGATTCCTTAAAAAGTATGTAATGGACTGGGTCGCGATTGTTTTTTAACGAGTAAATATTTAGCGAAATCTGCAGCATGCTTTAGGATGGTTGGGATACCGGGACTTTTAAATAATTTTTTCGTGGAAAATATGCATAATATTCACAGCTCCAAACACATGATAGCTTGTGTTTGATGTATAGCGGAAACATCGTCAACGCGGTGGAATGTTCCTTCGATGGAGTGCTTGTTGAAGAACGAAGTGATAACTGAAGTGTATACAATAATGCTGTTGCAATGCCATATCTCTTTGGCGTTAAGTCAAAGAATAAGGACGCGCCTTCCATGCAAAGAATTGTTAAAATCAGTGGTTTGGGTTTTATTTTGAGCCTGGTCAGTTATTCATTACTTAATGTGTATCCAATTTTGGAAATAGGTTTACTTGTAATTACTAAATAATTATAATAGTTTCATTTTTAGTATTTAATATATCCAGTAGTAGTTAAGATATAGCATGGGAACGTAGGTTGTGAACGTATTAAGCTTGGTAGACTGTGTGTTAGTATTATTACTATTCTTATTATTACTGTCACAGTGATAACTGTATATTTAGCAACAGAAGCACGCATTCCTTAGCATCATATTTGATTTAAAATTTGGTTTGTTGAATGAAAGAATCAATATTCGATGAACAAAATATGTTTTGACGCACGTGTTACTACCCAAGGATATATTCTTCATATTCAAGTTTCCACTGTCCTGTTAGAAGGCGTATTAGTGGAAGATATACCTCCCGAAATAAAGTTATGTACACAACTTAATAAGAAAAGATAATGTAAAGAAGCACTTAAGTGATTAGGATATCTTTCAAAACTCTAACTTTAATGGTCTAAAAGGGATGAGAATATGCTGCTGGAACTGAGGAGATAATGGGGTGACTGGTGATTATTTCATAAAGAAATGTGTTCTGGATGTGTACGAACAAAGAAATGTAGAAGGCAACAATTGTATGTAAAATATCACTGTAATAGAATCAAATTGCGAAATTTGTGGGTTTGTTGGGCTTTCTTTGTTTCGTTTGTTGTTTGGTTTTGAGTATGTTTTGGGGTTTTTCTTGTTGTTTTTTTCTTGCTTTTTGATGTGGTTGATTTCTTTCTGGTGTGGTTGGATACGTCATTATATTACTGAGTCGTAAACATATACAACATATGGAATTACGTCATCATAATTGAAATAGTGTTTTAATCGTTAATTCGCTGAGATATATATTTAACGCATCCCACCCCATCTCTCTCTCTCTCTCTCTCTCTCTCTCTCTCTCTCGTCTTTGAGTGAGTTCAGTTTAGTTAGAGACGAGACACAGTTACTTGAAATTCAAATGGAATGAGTTTTTTTCAACAACAAGGGGATTATGCAAGAAAAGAGTGGACTGAACTATACATAACAGCGCCTGCCGAATACCTTCATTTACTTGCCTATACCCGTAGAACAAACGAGAAGTACCCGGCGGAATTCTATACGTGTGATACCGTCATTAACCAGGTGTGTCATTTTACCACTCCCTAATCCCGGGTATTGCATATACGGCGGTTGTGTTGGAAATATATCGAATTTTCAACCATACATTTGATGGAGGCACCGTCAATCCCGTGAGCAGGCGTTACAAGCATACCCAAGTCAGAACCGCACACATATAACTCGACATGCCGACATCGCGAGGGCTTGCCTGCCCAAGACTTAATTTGTATGTCTTTGTTGTCGCTCTCTTTGATGTGTAGCGGACGTGCGGGCTCGCTATTTAGACAGCTCATCGAAGGTATTAGATAGGGTACAGGCTATGTGTGGCCCGTAGGGTGGGGGAAGGAGAGGGAGGGGCAGGGTTGGCGACACAGCCAGGATAATTTGTGAATGAGGTTTAGAATTAGCATGGGAATCAGCTTGACAACTTTATATTGAGTTAAGTCGCTTATCACAACAGTGGTGTTGTCTACTCGTTACTTGTGCCTAGCCCGAGGGGCTGGGTTTGATCAAGGCCAGGTATTGAGCCCTGTGGGGGTTTAGGAAGCGCTCTCATAGCGCACTGTTTGATGAAACCCCCGCCTGCCTGTTATGACATCGACAAATTGGCTTGATTTGTTCGTGGCTACTGACAAACAGCTCTGTTGCAATACTCTCTTCTATCTATTGGTATGTGGAATGAAAATTTAATCTTGGAATGTTATTTATATTATAGGATGACATAATCACATTAGTAATAATGATGTTTGACTGAGCAAATATAATGGAACAAGAACGAGAAATTGATAAATCGGCATGTTTTGACGTTAACTGTTATTCAGTCACATAACGGTAATTGAATCATGGGTTTTGCCTATTGATTCCTCCCATATCAGAATACCAATCCAATCTAAAGTTACTTTTGAGACTAATTAGTGATTTCGACATATCGCCCAATCTCAATTTAATCCGAAACATTACATTGGTGTACTTGTCCTTGCAATATTTTCACAGAATACTTTTCTTAGCCAGCGTTCGATAATTTTCTTTTTAAAACTTTATAACATAATACTCCAAACAGGTGTTCCAAACAGACTTGCATATCACTTCGGGCTCCCCTGCCACCTCAAGGTGAAACGTTGGTGACATAAATGCAAAACTGTTCAAACCAGCGTTCAGCCTCACTCACTCTTAAAAATAACCCGTGAAGGTCCGGGTTAGAATATTGATCTTCAGTAACCCATGCTTGTCTTAAGAGGCGACAAACGGGATCGGGTGACACATGTCATTGGTTCCCAATTGCGCAGGTCGATGCTCATGATGTTGATCACTGGATTGTCTGGTCCAGAGTCGATTATTTACAAACCGTCGCCACATAGCTGGAATATTGCTGAGTGCGGCGTAAAACTAAACTCACTCTAAAAATGTTTTAACACCTTTGGATTTTTAGACGCAAATCGATTCCATTACATCACATCTGAATGGTATGAAGTGATACATATCTTTTAATGATGAGGAACACCGAGTTTTTAGAGTGTATGCTAATTCCTTCATAAGGTGAATGGCAGCTTGGGTGCAGAGAACACTTATGTACGCGGAAGAAGTAATAATTAAGATAACTAAAGTGGAAACAATGGTGGCTTATAACTGTCTACCGCTGATCGTCATCGCTAATTCAAGTCCACTGATTTTCAACCTTTGCTATTTTATAACCATTGTTGGAGGTGGGGTAGCCTAGTGGTTAAGCGTTCGCTCGTCGTGCTGAAGACACGGGTTCGATTCCCCATAATGTTTGAAGCCCATTTCTGGTGTCCCCAGTCGTGATATTGCTGGAATATTGTTAAAAGCGTCGTAAGACTAAACTCACTCACTATAACCTTTGTAGTCCTCACGTACACATATATGTCCTGTTAATTAAGGAGTCGATATCAATAAATTCTCTCAACTATCAATTATCGCGGCAAAAAGGTTACATAACTTTGATGAGTAATCATTTTAGCCAGTAAATGCCCCTAATCATAAAACATCGTTAAACATGGAAGCGCGGGAACGTAGCCCGAAGTTGCCAGTACCGACAAGTCGATACTAATCGCACGTAACGAACTCTTCCGATTGTCGTCGATTTTAGCCGAGTTAATGCTGAATGAAGCACGAAATCTGTTCTCAGTGAATGAACGACGGACGTTATTACTAAGTCATGACAATTTGGTGGGAGCCGGCGTGTATTGTGAGATAATTACACGAGTGTTTGATGCGCGGACCCGCCAAGGGCTGTGTATTTAACGCCATGACGTTATTGTCGATTGTATCAACTCCCTGCAGAGCCTTTGTGCGATTGTATCGGAATCCACTGAGAGAAGTCGGTGTGTGGAGTTCGTCTATTAGCATGTTTCTACGTCGTCGCTACTTCATCATGGCTCAATCACTGTTATCTAATGAGTAAATTAGCGTGAGCTACCGAACGCCAACAAAGCAGGAGCCCCCAACAAAGACGGGATTTAGCGCATTCCGGAGTCACGTGATGTCTTCCACCAATCACAACCCAGCACCGTCGGCTCGGTCCCTTTGAAGTGTAAATCCAATTATGCTAGTGTGTAAACTGGCTGCAAGGCGATTACTGTCCCGCCTTCGCCTGCCCCTCAAATAACAAACCATAATCAGCCCTATTATGCGTGTCAACACACTCGCTCTAAGAAGCATATGGACTGAAAGGATTTAATTTCCTTTTAAACCACCCCGCTATTGATCGTAATTGGCTGGCGGCGAACATCAAAGGAAACATATCGCGTTTTGATTGGAGGGCGGTAGATCAGAGCCGATACTCGCAGCACTAAGTGTGACCGCCTATTCACAGCGAAGTGAAGAAATTACACACATCGCACGGCCATGGCCAGTTGAGGAAGGCAGGCAGTAGACTTTACAATACTGTGCTCGGAGGACGTTGATACTATCGTCTAACTATACAGTCTCCGACATGGCGGCCGTCTTACCTCGTCCCCATTCATATCATCTACAGGTAGGTGCATCAACGCCGCAGGTGAAACGGCAATGACTACGATACTTATTGTATGTGAGTGTGTTGGTATTATGATATTAATGTAGGTGTCCGTGTTATCTGCTCCTAAGTGCTCTTGTGTTGATAAAAGAGCACTTGACAGCCGAGATCACAATCAGATCAATATTATCACTGTACAATGTACTGATACGTCAGATCTTAACTCACATAGCCGACGCTTACAGAGTATTACACAGCTTCTAACATTCATTTGATTATTGAAATGTAAACATATAAATAGCTAAGTAAATATATATTATTAACGAGATGTGGTCATATAACATAAATAATAACCAAATGTGTTCAAATTATGTGTTAAAATAATATACAGCTGTATAGATAAACAAAAACTCATAATAATGTTTTAACTATTTACATCTCATTGACGCTGTAATGTAACTGTCAAGCTGAATGAGTGCAGAATGTACAATATTGATTTATGAATATCTCTATACAAGGTATACGAGTCCGTGACAGTTATATTTTAAACCAGTTATCCGCTTAACGTTCAACACAGCTAACTATCTGAAACTAGCTGCGTGTCGCCAGCTACTGTAGACAGACAGCTGAGTGTAATGGTGTGTAAGGGCTACGCAATATGAACCAGTTGCATGTTTCTCTGAATAAGCTTTTCAAGAAGCTTTTGTATATTTATATTTGTTTACATGGATTATTGCAACTAGTAGTCATATTATTTTGAACATAGTTAAAATGAATATTTATTGTAAGACACATTTTAATTTAACCATCACAATGTCTACGAATAAAAATATCGTAAAAATATATTTAAAGCATAAAATGCCTTTTCAGTCATCAGAATTGTTATCATAGTCGTATTATAATATATAATGACATGACACTTGTTAAAACGTAATAATGATGGATTTACAATGTCGTTAAGTGTATTATATGTGTGATGTAATAATGATTATAAAGCATATATGTTCACACAACCTATTTGTTACTTTACAAGTATTGTCGTGTGTTTAGGTCACCTGAGAAAGTCACTCAGTGACAAGTACTTCACCCTCGTGGATGACTGAGATGAATTAACTCACCATAAACATCCTACATGTACATAAAACAGATATTAAGAGACACCAAGGTGTCACCGTCACATCCCAATATTAAATCACATTTTGACAAGACTGTATAAGCTCAAAAAGGTCATAAACAACAAGGGCAACATATATAGTCATGCCAATAATGGTTGTCACCCCCTTCAAAAAAATTTATTGGAGAGTGGGTGTGGGGTTGGGGTGGGGAGGGGGTGACAACCATTATTGGCATGAGTATATATTGGGCACATGGTATTGTAATGGGTAATCATGAAACTGAGCGTACGAGGCTCATGTTGTGTACGTAGTATATGGTATTTACAATATAGTGTCTTCAGTACGTCAACTACCATCTATATGTTTAACATCCGACTGTCATTTGTGTCTTTGCCAGATCGAGGTAATGAGAATGTTTGTTCAACGTGTTAGCGACAAGACAGTTGTTTGTTTTTTAACATCTTATACGCAAGCATACAATGTATTCTTGAAATGTTCATACGGTATTTAAAGAAGTTACAAAAGTTTCAATTTAAATAATAAAGAACACGCTTAACAATTAACTTTGTCACAGTTAATATTTACAACGATTTTCGCTGAATATGTCAAAATAGTGTACAAGAAGCAAGAAATGACACATGTTGCTTATTCAAACAGATAGCTGTGTTCAGTATTTATAAAAAAAAAAAACATTTATTCAGGAACAATGTACTTAAATACTAATTGTCAATATAAAATAACTATAATAAATAAATATAAATATATGTAATAAGGTTTGAAAGTTGTCAAACTCCTTTCTTGTGTCTATACACTTTAACATCTGCATAATGATTCGACAAAACGTTTAAAACTATATAATGTATTTAATTTCTAAAGTTTACTCCGTTATTTCAATTCAAGTTGAATAAGTAGAGGGTGATTACATTCCAGAGAGCATACCTTGTGTATTGTCACTGTCAAATACGTGTTACCATAAGAAGGTAAGATAGTTTATGGATGACAACTCCTTTATTATATTTATACCATGCCCGGAACGCTATATAGTATAACACCACTTTCTATATACTTAACCCATGAGCGGATATATATGGAATGCGGGCAAAGGAAACTATACTCCTTTGATGTTAGTTAAAAATTAAACAATAAATGTTCTTTCAATGCTGATGTATTTTATGTGGCCATAATTGTGTTTTGGACATGAATTTAGCAGTATTTCGACGACTGTTTTCAGTCTTGTAAATTTGTGACAACGTTCGTAACGGTTTGGTCAAATCATATTTTTAAGTTTATAGTATCCTTTGCTTGGCAGTTTAGTAGTGAAAATGTATATACTGTATATTTATAAAACTATAAATATTAATATTACTGTTATAAGGTTGGATGGCATGTAAATGTAAAACGTCAGTGCGACTCATCTGATGCTGAGCATTTCATCGCAAAAACACACTAAAAAAATTCATCCATGTATCGAGCACCGAATCCATTAAGCCCGACGGGAGGATGGGGTGTGTGGGAGGGGGGGGAGGTGTGCTACTGGTACTCAATTATGTCGTATAACAAACACCACGAGGGTAGTTGAACAGGGCTGGAGCTGCTTAAACTTACATATGCCTATTTCAAATCACACGGTTGGGATACGTGAACATAAACATGATTCTAAATTGTTAAGGAAAAGCGTTATTTCGATAAAATCGTTTATATTTTCTTTCAATACAACTTTTGTTTATAAGGTCGTATAAGTATATTGTAACTTCCTAGGAGTACATCAAAGCATATTTATGAGGACTTTGATCATGTAATGGACGAGCTTGAGACTAGCCTCGTACACAACCCGCTAAAATCCGATAAAAGCTGCATGGCGGTAGTTGCTCGGTTTATGACTCCATGGGAAAACGTGATATCCGGTTTTCAGACTGCTTTCATCTAAACCCATACATCAAAGTATTTGGTTTAAAGAACATGTAGACAATTTTCTGAAATATAATCGAAAGATGGATCATGTGCCCAAATTTCAAAACTTTGAACACAATCACTTTAAAATCTTCGCAATCGGCGTGGAGAGAGAAATTCACAAACCACCTTGTCTTACCCCTATAACAATACTTGTTTGAATAGCTAACCCCAATGTGCGTGTATGAATTAAAATAATAGAAATACAAAAAATAATTACCATATTCATAGTTTCTATTTCACCCCTGGAAGAACAATATTTTTATGGAATTATAGGAATACATTGACATGCATATCATCAAAAATACAGAACTCCCAAATGAAATCTCTGTAAACTAGAAGCTAAATGGCATGATCAGTATCCTTTATGTAACTGGGAGAAGGTATGTGTGTTCACAAAAATAGTGACTGAAATATTCAAGACAAACGTTTTGCCTCATCTTTGTTCTATTGGATGTTTCACAGTATTGAAAATAAATTATACCAGATAAAAAATAATAAAATAAATATTATTTCTCATAGTGAAGAACTAACACGAACTTTGTATAATGATAATTACTTTGTAAAGAAAGATCTTTGTGTTATATATTGATAGATTGATAGGCCGAGAAAACAGTATTACCTTATGCTTGCAGCATTAGCATTTCTTTATTGGTCAAGAAATTAAGTAACAATAATCATCTTCTTTATACTCGTTATCATAAATAACGTTATAACCCATCAGTGATTTAATTCTAACAATGTCATCATAATTTGATCGCGCAAAACTAGATATTAGCGGTTTTGTTTATGGTTAAAGGACATCTTTATGCAAAACACATTTTTCAAAAGTAACAAATACTGTAGCAAGCAGTGCTGTTGATAGCTGAAGCTGTTAGGCTGACTGACTGACTGAGTTTGGTTTTACGCCGCTTTTAGCAATATTCCAGCAACATCACGGCGGGGGACACCAGAAATGGAAGCTGTTAGGAGGATACATGATATCAGGGTAGTTTCCTTGGTGACGGTCTCTTATGTGAGGAGTCCTTCACTCGTGTCACCATTTACGTGTTGAGTATATTCGAAGTGTAGGCACACCAACAATAAAAACGTCATGTACCTTTAGGTTACTTGAGACAGTGTAACCCATGTAACAGTATTCGTCACATTGAGGTAAAACCACCACGACGCTTGTACCCAACAATGAGTAACTCGACATTCTGTAGGAAATGAGATTTCACTGTATAAACGTATTAAAGATCGCTATGTGAGACAAGGTCATCAAATCGCTTGAACCGAGTTTGAGTCGCTTGATATTTTCCAGGAAATGAGATCTCACTGCATACAAGAGATACAAAGGCAACCAAAAGAGACGTGTTCAGTGTTTTGTTATATCAACTATATGTTTGCCATTGTCACAAAAAGTAAACCTAGTTTCAGTCACTGGTTTAGAAATATTCAAGTTAAAGCATCGCCAGTATACTGGGTCTGGGCTAAGAAAATCAGCTGTTGCTAATATGGGCAGTAATCTATACGATGGGTTATTTGACACAGAATCCACCAGGTCACCACTGTAACCAACCGATCCCCATCGTAGCAGTACTTCATGGGTTTATGGAGGCCTGTCCTGCTCAGGAAACCTCGAGGGACGTTCTATAAGATGTAAAGATTGATGTGATTAATAATTTTAGTGTGCCATACTGAGGTAGTCTCAAATTGGACTGAATAAACATCAGACATATCTATAATTCACACTCATAATTTACGTCGTCGCATGAAGTGATTTCCGCTTTAATTAATGTCGATGGTGCTTCAGGACATGTAGCCGAATATATCATGTATATTACCATCTCAGTATGTTGAACTCCGGTCTTTGTTTGTTCGTAGGAACCCAGTGAACACCCGATGGCGATGTTGCCATGTAACCGTCTCCGGTCCGGTCTCCACGACATCCACAAGCCCCTTCCGACCTTCCTGCAACTTCCGCCATCATGGACGACCTCCCATTGTCACACTGCGCCGGTCTTCACGGATGTGACGTCACAGCACGTGCAGCTACAACATCCGGTGGCGGCCATGAGCGGAAGTCTACGAGCCCCAGTCCAGTCTCCCGTCACGTCGCACCCTTTCAACTACGAACTCTATCAAGCCAGACTGATGCAACAAAATCTGATAGCCGCTGGACATACGTTTATTGCAACACCACAGGTGTCAGGACCCGTGTCCCCCCTCCCTCCCCCAACACCCTCCAACATCCCCAAACAGCTTTCCCCACCCCCTGCGTCTGAAGCGGAGATACCCTGGTGGAGTGTACAGACACACACCCCGGGGCCGAGCCTCTCCCCAGAAAGACTAGCAGTTTCATCGGGACTTGTGTTCCATAGCTCGGAAATGCAAATGGCATCTGTACTACATGGTATGAAGAGTGGAGTCGCTCCTACGAGGCGCTGTCGTCGATGTCGCTGCCCGAACTGTCAGAACAGTGGCAACACCGGCAACCCTGCCAAGAGGAAGCAGCATATCTGTCACATACCCGGATGTGGGAAGGTGTACGGGAAGACCTCTCACCTGAAAGCCCACTTGAGGTGGCACACGGGGGAACGCCCGTTTGTGTGTAACTGGTTGTTCTGTGGGAAGAGTTTCACTCGTTCGGATGAGCTCCAACGCCATCTACGGACCCACACTGGAGAAAAGAGATTTGCCTGCCAGGAATGCGGTAAACGGTTCATGCGCAGTGACCACCTCAGCAAGCACGTGAAGACGCACGAGAACAAGCGCGTGAAGAGTACGTCACGTGATGACGAAGCCAGTGATGTTTCCGATGACGAAGACATTGACGTGGATGTGGAATCTGATTTTTCCTCGGACAATATAGAACTTGAGAGAGTGGATGAACAAATTACCTCCCTTGATTCTCCTGCATTGTAGAGCTAGTTCAAAACGTGGACACAAAAAGTGCTTGTCTTTCGGGATTAATAGAAGATATTCAGTGCTGATGAACATTTTGCTTAATACATATCAGTCAGTATGCATTAAGATAATTATTGTTTTGCAGAACGCACCTTGTACAGGTATCCTATGGAATCTTTGAAAACAACATATATCTTTTACTGTATAATCTGGTCTGTTATAAAGCTGTTATGCATACACTTATGTATTGTCATGAAGGCCCTCTTTTCTAACGGTTGCTGTTAAAACGTTACAGTGTATTCAAAGAACATGACGTCCTATTAAAACCTGTTACTCCAAATTGATCCAAATAGTATCACCGAGAACACTACTATCGGATTAACGTGAAAAAACGTATTGTATTAGCATCAGTATTTACAGATGGAGGGTGACCTATTATATCTCATTATTAAACGAAATATTTGTTAAATTCCATATAGATGGATATTTTACACTAGCATTCCAGATACGCAAGTTGACGGTGCCCTGTTGATATCGCACCTCCAGCTCTGTGTTACATGCATTAGTTGTTACCGTTGTCTAAGCTTGTTGGTGTTTGTAATATTGATCTCAGTCTGTACATTGAAAGCAATATATATTAAATCATAAAAGAATAAAATCATATTGTCCAATATAGCTTTGATGTTTTGTTATTACGCAAACATTAAATGAAACCGTTCTGCAGAAAATAACGGTTGTTGAATTATCCTATAAAAATATAATTAAATTATTATTATTGGATATTTATTATTGGATATTTATATTGCGCACATATCCACGCACTAGTGCATGCTCAAGGCGCTAAATATGCACAGAGACAACCCTGAACTCAAAACTGACAACTTGGACAAATATTTTAGACTTGCTTGGGCTGTATTAGACTAACGCTTAGTCTCTGAATATATGTAGTTTTGATTGTAACAAATAAACCCATTTAAATTGAAAAGGAGCCCCAGGGAGACCAGCGATTCAGAACCTGAAGAAATCTAGACTTGCTTCATTTAGGGCTTTAGCATTGCATGGAGGGTTAGGCTGTACGGAAAATAATATGGTTCAGGGACTGTGAGACAGAATAGGGCTGTATTGGATATTCTTGTTTCAGACAATTCTGTAACGTGGGCTTGGTTTAACTTATTTCAGTATTTCAGTAAGTGAGTGTGGAACATTAATCGAAGTATTTGGTCATCTATCATCAGTATGTTTATTAGCTTTTGTAAGCAAGAGTCAGTGAGTGAGTTGGTGTTTCCTCCGCTTTTAGCAATATTCCATCAATATCACAATGGGCTTCACACATTGTATCCAAGTGCGAGACAGAACCCGATTATCCGGCGTGACGAGCGACGCTTTAACAAATATGCTGCGCAACCGCCTCTTAACAGTATTTCAGATACATGGCGATTTGAAGTTGGAGTTTTGAAGTGATCCTAACCTTAAATGTGTACCACTTTGTTAAAATCCATGGTTATTGACCAACCCATAAACACATCAATACGAATCTCGGATCGAACTGAAGTTCCAGGTTTTGGCACTGTGTGCAGACATTTGCTGCGTCGTAGACGATGGGGCCATCCGGGGTCTTCCTTTTGTGTCAGTAAATCAGCATCTTTGTAAAGTTTTCACAAAACGAACTCAGTAAATCTTAACTTCAACATGCTCACATGTAAATCTGATACACGTGACGAATGATAATGAAACTGATCCATTTTCCTTCAAGCTATGTGTAATGTACACAGAGATCAATACATCGCCGCTGCTGGTGAATGTGTTTTTAGGCTTATGCTGGTTCAGCAGGTTGGTTTTTTTAACGCTGCATTCAGCAATATTCCAGCTATGTGGCGGTCGTCTGTAAATAATCTGGTCTGAACCAGACAATCTAGTGATCAACATCATGATCATCGATCTCTAATTTGGGACACGATGATATGTATGAACCAAGTCAGCGAGCCTGATCACCTGGGCCTAGATTTTCGAAGCTCTCTTAACGCTAAGATAGTCGTAAGTGCCATACATTAACTTACGACAGTCTTAGCGCTAAAGAAGCTGAAAAAAAATGTACAGGGCCCCTTTCACAAAGCTCTCGTAAGCCTAAGATCCCGTAACTTTCCTCGTAGCATTCCTAACGCCTATACTGTAACATTGACTTACGATAGTCGTAGCGCTACGAGAGCTTTGTCAAATGGGGCCTAGATCCCTTTAGTCACCTCTTACGGCTAGCATGGGTAGCTCAAGGTCAATTCTAACCCGGATCTTCACGGGTTCTTTAGCAGGAGTACCACGCCAGATTTCACGTTCTTCATTCCTATAATAATGCGTATAGTTATAATCTGATAGTATAACACCATTAAGCACACCTAAAGTGAATCAATATTATCCTGGTCACGGATCAGAGTGCCCTCGAACTTCATTCTCAGTTTCCACCGTCAGTGGATCAATAAGCACTCACGTTTTAATTCTCATATTCTCAAAGGGCCAGCGTGGATTCCACTTTCATTCTCTGCTTCTTGGGAAGTGTACAGAAGGCCTAAAAGGTGAACAGTCACATTACATTATCATCATATCCTACCGGGTACCCATCTGTAAAATGACTCGCTCTGTTTGCCAGTAATTTGTTTCAATAGTTGGCTGTGATAGAAGCTTAGATAACTCTCTATCAGCACAGGCTAGTTGTACTATTTAAATTTTATTCAAGATTTTTGTTACAAATGATGCCTTTCAAAGGTTATTAAACAGCCGGTAAAAATTTACCAGATTGTAGGTTTTGTATTACAATATGTTTGTGATGCAAAGTGGCAAGTCACTACCTCTTGTGCTTTCAGTTATATGACACTGCCTGCTGTTGATCACTGCATTGTCTGGTCCAGACTCGATTATTTACAGACCGCTGCCATATAGCTGGAATATTGCTGAGTGCGGCGTAAAACTAAACTCACTCACTATATGACACTGCCTCTGTTCCAGGCTCATCAATGAGCGAGGAACTCTGGAATGCCAGCTCACCACAGGTTATTGACCTGTTGACAAATGTAATACAAAGCACTATCTCTCAAACACGGTCATTTTCTGAAAACCGGAACCGTATAAATACGACCAAAGGACGATACACAGAAGCCCAAATGAGGTTCTTCAGTTGTGAGGTTCTGATAACAGAGTGAGTGAGTGAGTTTAGTTTTACGCCGCACTCAGCAATATTCCAGTTATATGGCGGCGGTCTGTAAATAATCGAGTCTGGACCACACAATCCAGTGATCAACAGCATGAGCATCGATCTGCGCAATTGGGAACCGATGACATGTGTCAACCATGTCAGCGAGCCTGACCACCCGATCCCGTTAGTCGCCTCTTACCACAAGCATGGGTTACTGAAGATCAGTTCTAACCCGGATCTTCACGGGTGTCTGATAGCAGAGGCGTCACAAAGCATGTTCCTGACAGCGTGATGACGTCAGACGTTAACTGCTTTTGTGAAACCAACGAGCACGGGTTTGGTGCATTCAAGTTGAGAAATATATTTAGGAATTAGAACTTGCAATCAGAAGTTTATTATGTTTCAGAGGGACATAACACAGTACAATAACACCAATTCTCCTCTACGGGGCTGAAATGTGGGGGCTTAATAATATGCAAGAACTGGAAAAAGTACATTTATATGTTTGCAAACGTTCTTTGAACGTTACGTTATCAACGTCGAATAATGGAGCATAGACGAGTGTGGCAGATATCCTATTCAATTATCTGCTGGTCTAAAATGTATTTGATATTGGTCAAATCTTGTTAATATACCGATGTGTATGCAGTATTCTTAACACACTAGCTCGGGATACTCCATGGAGATCCCTGTTCTGAGGAAAAAAATACCTCTGTGTTTGATATTGGGAGGTCGGAATCTGTGAACGCCTTGTTAATATAACTTTCTGCACAGTTAGAAAACTGTATGATGAGCAAGGCCATGAGAATTGGGTTACCAAAGTTAGAAATATTATATTTTATATTAGGTTTTGGTGATGTTTGGGTATCACATACTTACGGAGATAAAAACGTTTGTGTTAATGTGGTTTTTCAGCGACTGAAAGATACATTTTCGGCAAGTTTGGCACAGTGATTTACCTGAGAGCCCTAAAATGTTTACATATTGTAATTTCAACTCAACGATTTGTGAAACATATTTAACTCATATTACTGTATCCAAATTTAGATCTTGTTTATCACGATTTAGGTCAAGTTCCTATCGTTTAGAAATTGAAAGAGGTCGTTACTATAACATTCCCCGGGAACAAAGAAATGGCAAAATCTGTAACTTAAACCAGAGACCATATACCGAGGGACGGGCCCCAGAGCTAATTAGGAACTGATCACTGCCGCGCGAGACAAAGCGATCATTACCGCGAGGCTTTGCGAGACCTACGAGATTCGAAGGCTCACATCGGTATTTTTACCTTCATCTATATCATCCACGGTAAGTTGAACTACTTTCATTTGATTTTGTAAGGGACGACAACCATTTATTGTAAGTATCTGACAAATGTATGGAGCACATAGTATCTTTGAAAGGAATATACCATGCCCTGTGGTGATCCACTTTGTTGTGGACAAAGAAAATGGCTTCCTTGGCGAAATCGTGGAAAATAGACATTTTTCCAGTACATCTTGTCAAATGAAACGTTAGCAAAGTCCTTAGTTACTGGGTTGTATTGGACGATCGGTTATTCCTTTTTCACGCAGTGTTCATTATTTCGTAGTTTGTTTTTGTATTCTCTTAAAATCGGCAATGAAAGTGTATCTGTAATTGCAACCCTGTCATTTCGTCATACTGAAAACACGTGATTATGCTATATCTTGTGGTACGCTGGTTTTAGTAATAAATCGCTCCATGAGAATTTCACTTATATTTTTTAATTCAGCACTAATTTCTGTATGCATTGATATGAAAAATAATATGCTTTTATCTTATGGTGGTGTTTTACGATGATGTGCAAAACACTAGCCCACGCTGAAAAGTTTTAGGGGTGGGCAGACAATAAGCCCACTGGGATAAAAAGCCCTCGGACAAAAAAACCTAGGCTAAATGCCCCCAGGACAAAAAGCCCTTGCAAATTTCAACCCATAGGATAAAACACCCTCGGTGTATATTTTCAGTTGACAGGTGATAACATGATGTTTTCTAAGCAATTCCTCCCACTGCTGATAGTTGTTACAGGCTCCTCAGTGACGATGTTGTTATTGTAACAATGGAATGAAGTCTGCTAAATGTTGTTTCAGAAAACTGGCTTAAATTGGTCACTTCCTCTTATGTTTGATTTCGTTGGGCAGGTACTCATTGTGGTATGTATTCTATTATATCTCTTCATTGAGGACCTTTTGTCCTACCCATTGAGGGCTTTTTGTCATGGGGGCATTTAGCCTAGGGGTGTTTTGTCTGAGGGTGTTATGTCCTTGTGGGCCTCGTTTTAGGATATCGCTTAGCAATTGTCCTTTAGTTAAAATCAGCGATTTTCAATATCAAAGCAAATTTGAATGAACATTGTTCAGGCTTCAAATTTGTTACAATATTATTTACTTCCGTATTTTCATATTACCTCCCCTTGTCAC